TGTGTGTGTGTGTGTGTGTGTGTGTGTGTGTGTGTGTGTGTGTGTGTTTATGGACAACTCAACCTGGTTTCTCAGGTTCCATCCATCTTTATTTTAAAGTAAGATTTGTTTATTTTTATAGAATGTGTATGAGTGTTTTGCTTGCATGTTTGTACATGCTCTGTATGTAAGTCTGGTGCCTCTAGAGGTAAGAAGAAGGCATCAGATTCCCTGGAACTGGAGCTAAAGATAGTTGTGAGCCACCATGTGGGTGCTGGAACCAAACCTGGGTCCTCTGCAAGAGCAGCCAGTGGTCTTAACTGCTCAGTCATCTCCCCAGATCAAATGTTACAGGGGAGTAAGTTGGTGCAAGTGTTCAGTGAGTAAAGGCACTTGTCTCACATGTCTGGAAGCCTGGATTGCATCCTCCAACCCCACATAAAGATGGAAGGATAAAAACAACCCACAAAGTTATCCTCTGACCTCTACACATATGCTGTGCCAAGCATGTCTACACACACACACACACACACACACACACTACAATGATGATGACGATAATAAATAAATATATATATATTGAGATAAGGTCTTTCTACAGACCCCTGGCTGTCCTGCAACTCACTATATAGACTGAGCTGGCCTCAAACTCATAGAGATCTACCTGCCTCTGCCTCCTGAGTGCTGGGGCTAAAGGTGTTCGCCACTTGTCCAGCAACAAAAAATTTAAAAAGATTTAAATTTTAAAATTTAAATTAAAATTTAATTAAAATTAAAATTTAAAAATTAAAAAAGAAAAGAAACAATCATTGGAGCTGGTGACGTTGGTCGTGGGAGGGTGGTGGTGTCATGAAGAGGTGACAGCAGTACTTGTACCCCCTCTGCACGCCACACTGAGGTTCCCCCCTCCCTCCCCAGCACTTCCCGGAGCACCTGGACCACTTTGTGGAGAACATGGAGGACTTCTCCAATGACCTGTTCAGCAGTTTCTTTGATGACCCTGTGCTCGATGAGAAGAGCCCTCTGCTGGACATGGAACTGGAGTCCCCTGCTCCAGGCATCCAGGCTGAGCACAGCTATTCCCTGAGTGGGGATTCTGCACCCCAGAGTCCGCTTGTGCCTGTCAAGATGGAGGACACCACCCAAGGTAAGATGTGGAAGGGCCCAGGAGGGAGGAAGCTTCTGGGGACCAGAGGTGGGGGAGGGGAGGCAGGGGAGCATCTGTAACCTGAGACTCCCAGGTCAGCAGCCCACAATCCCCTTTGAGCAGGGTGTAGCTCCTGGCCTTTTGGGTGTCCCCCCCCCGAAATCAAACCCATTTGGCTGTTTCTCAAAGGGTGTACCCCGACTTCAGCCAACAAACAGGCCACAAAGAGTGGCCGTAGACAGCAGTGTCCCTGACAGCCTGTTACAGATGCAGCGTTTGGGAGCTGCTGGAGGTGGCTCAGAGGGGAATGTGCCTGCCACTCAGGAGTGAGGACCTGAGTACCACATAAAAGCTGGGTAGTGGTGGGTCGAAGAACCGTGGGGCAGGAGCATACAGAAGAAGAAACCGAGAGACAGGAGGACCCTAGAAGCTAGCAGGCCAGACAACTCGGCCGAAACAGGGAACCTCAGGTTCAGTGAGAGACTCCGCCTCAAACAATAATCTGGAGAGTGATGGAGCAAGAGTTGTACCATCCACCCACCTCTGCGCTCCACAGGCACAAACACACACACATACACCTGCCCCTATGTGCCCTCCCAGACACATACACACAGAGAAAATAAAAAAGGAGCCAGGCATGGTGTACACACCTTCCATCCCCAGACTCAGGAGGCAGAGACATTCATATCTCTGTGAGTTCGAGGCCAGCCTGGGCTACATAACTGAATGCCAGGACAGATAGAGCTACATAGAGAGACACTGGCTGGGTGGATGGTAGGTCTGAGATCAACTGGGCTACACAGTGAGACCTTGTCTCCAAACACGCAAACTACAAAACAACGAACGGGGACTGGAGAGATGGCTCCGTGGTTAAGACCACTCGATGCTCTTCCAGAAGACCTGAGTTCAATTCCCAAAACCACATGCTGCTTCACAACCATCTATAATGAGACCCAGTGCCCTCCTCTGGTGAGCAGGTGAATATGCAGACAGAGCACTCATAGGTAAATAAATAAATATGTTTTAAAAAATGAAATTCAGTTACACATAAGACTAAGATAGGAAGCTAAAAGGTCAAGGCTGCCATGTGTTGGTGACGCATGCCTTTAATCCCAGCATTTGGATGGCAGAGACAGGCGGGTCTCATGGTCTACAGAGCAAGTTCCAGGACAAGCCAGGGCTGCACAGAGAAACTTGAATAACAAAAAAGCTGAGGCAAGTAGGATTGTGAGTTCGAGGCCAGGACTGGCCACTAGCAAGTTCCGGGGCAGCTTTGGGTTACAACATAGACTGTACCCCACAATGACAACAACGAATAAACAAATCTATCATCATAAATATAGACAAACAATAAAGAACCTAAAACCTTGTCATCTCCGTATCCTGACATCCTCCGGAAAGACCACTCACGAGCCCTGTTTCAGCTTTCGCTCCTGAAGTGGGCCTCAGTGTCACAACCCTCTCTCCCATCTGTCATCATCTGCCTCCGAACTGCTCCCAAGTGAGACCACACTGCACCCACCTCAAAATACTGCCATTCCATCCTTTTCTCTAAGACAGGTAGTCCTCTTTGAGTTTTCATGGTTGGTTTTCTGTTTGTTTGGCTGAGTGATCACAGACCTGTCTCTTTTTAAAATGTATCTGTTTTTATTGTCTGTCTGCGGTTGTTTTGCTGTCATGTATGTATGTTAGTCACATACATGCAAAACAGGGTGGTAAGTTCCCTGGAACTGGAGTTACAGACTGTTCTGAGCCGCTGTGTGGGTGCTGGGAATTGAACCTTGGGTCCTCTGAAAGAGCTGCCGGCACTCTTAACCACTGAGTCATCTCTCTACCCCTCGCATCTGTCTCTTAGCCTTGAGAAGCCTCAGTGTCTTCATCTACCGGTGGGGACAGCAGTAAATGTGTGTAGAGCACTCTCTGTGTCCATGGTGCCCTCAGGTTCCCTGTTTCATTAGTACTGCACAATGTCCAGGCGAGGTAGGAATCCTTTTATAATCCCCGTTTCACCCATAAGGAAAACGATTTCAGGAAAATACAGCTCTCTAGTTCACGTCAGCGGATAGATGCAGAATAAAAAGCTACAGTCAGCCCTTTGGTTCTAATCTCCACCCCTGCTGTCTACCAGCCTCCAGGGACAGCAAAGGATGCTGGGTGGAGAACTCAACTGGATTAGATGTACATCCTGGAATTCTCATCAGCTTATGGGGGGTGACCTTGTATAAAGTCTTTAACCTTTCTGGACTTGCAGTTCCTCAATTATAAGATGAGAATAGGAGCTGGAAAGATGACTCTGCAGTTAAGAGTACATGCTGCTCTTGCAGAAGAACTGAGTTCAGTTCCCAGCACCTGACTAGGGCTGTGACTCCAGTTTCAGGGAGACCCAGTACCTCTGAGGGTCCCTGTACTCACATACACAATACTCACCCACAGACACTGTACATAGACATAATTTTTTAATCTAAGGAAAAAGTCCTTTTAAAATATATATATTTTTTAAACACACACATATATATATATGTATGTATTTCCCAGCTCTGGACCTAACAAGATATATATCAACAACCAGTCACTGATTTTTTTGTGTGTACATTAAAGCCTTATTAATTCTATGAGTGGCTAGAACAATAAATGGAATTTGTTCACCTTCCCTTCCAGAGGGCAGTGATTGTCCTATCTGTTACATGGGAGAGCACAGTGCCTTCCTGGAGTCTTTAGAGTGTACTGTGCTGCAGAATCTCTCCAAGAATGGAAGCTGCTCTTTGTCCTCCCTGCCAAGAAGGAAGAAACACCTTCTGGCATTTTAGGATGCCCCGTGGCTTTCGACTACTGGGGTCCCAGCTGCTCACCAAACTTCAGCAGCTGCCGGGGTCTTGGACCCCAGCCTGGGAAGGGCAGGGATATGACACAGGCCCTCTCATCCCATGATGGCTGATGATGACAGGTGGATGACAGGATCTCCCCCACCCTGCTGGCTGGCTCAGCAACTCCTCAGCCACCCCAGGTCTATTTTTAAAGCAATTTGTCTGTGGCCCTTTGTGGGGGCAGCTTCCCGGACGCCCACAGCTTGGCCCTGTAATTTGGGAAGGCTGTGGGTGTTCCTGGGCCTTAGGGGCTGCCTGTGGCTTAGGGCTGGGTTCTCAGGCTTCCCAGCAGGGAGGAACTTGGCCAATAAGGTGAGACCAGGCAGCCACTGACCTCCCTCCACTCCCATAACGGACCTCGGAGTCCCCTCCACACCAGTCCCTGCAAGCTGACCTCCTGACTCGAGCCTACTACTGCAGCCATGGGCAATCATGCCCTGGGGGGGGGGGGGGCACCCAGTGCCTACCAGTAGAGGACTGAGGCATGTCAGCCCTGAAGCCTGGGTGAGGCCAAAAGACCCACTACATGACTACATGCTCAGAGGTGGACTCTGCCATGGCGAAACCTAAACCCCCACCTCCATGAGTTCCCATCACTGACTCTTGCAGACTGACCCTTTGAACTTTGTTTCTTATGTCACGTGTGGTGGCCCAGTATGGATAAAGCCTTGGGTTCCACCACCCCCAGCACCAGCATAAACTGGGCACAGTGGCACACACTTGTAATCCTGGTGGTTGGGAGGTGGAGGCAGGAGGATCAAGGTCATCAAGGTCAACCTCAGCTACACAGCAAGTTCAGAGCCAGCCTGGACTACTTGAGACCTTGTCTAAAAACAAACAAAGAAAGAAAAAAAACAAACTTTTTCCTTCCAAGTTCTTTCTTCTCTGTCCCCACTGCTTGCCTTTGTTCAATCCTCTGCCTCTCTCCCCTGCACTGTTTACAACTCAGCCCTCATTCACAGCGGTTCCTTTTATTCCTTTTATATACTTGGGTTTCACAGCTCACATTCACATCTAAACGTGACAAAGCAGCAAGCAACTGAGCGTCTCTTAAGGAGGCTCCGATCTGTGAAACTACTAATCTGAGGCTGGACACAGATGTCCCCGCCCTTCATACAGTTCTGGGAAACAGGACAACATAAGAGAGGTGTCTTCAACACAGCGGCCTCAGCCGTCCACTCCATGGCCACATCTTAACCACCAGAAAAACTCCAGCCGTCAAAACTTGTTTTTTTTTTTTCCAATTTATTATCATTATTGTTATCACCATCATTATCATTATTATTAGTGAGGTCAAGATGTGTCCAAACCCCACAAATCTTGTCCTGAGGCCAGTAGAGGTAGGAAAGCTTCCCCCCAGCTCTGGGCCTGAGGCTAGGTTTCAGGTTAAACTTTCTCCTTCCAGCAATGCCTGGAATTCCTCTTCATGCAAATGAAGCATTCCCAGCACCTCAGCCCCAGCCAATGACGTACACTCGCACCCAGAATCCCTATCTACTCCCCAAGGTTTATATAACCTTTTTCCCACCCCCAAACAGAGCTGACATTTTCAGGGTTTGGACATGTCTTGACCCCCCTCTTGCTCTGGACCGGCTCGCCCCCGATCGCATAGCCTTCCTGGCCACACATCATCATCATCATGTGTGTAGGATGAAGGTGTATGTGTACACAGATCATGTGGAGGTCATAGGATAACCTTGTGTGGTTTCCAAGGCTCAAACTCTGTCAGGTCACAGCCCTCTCACTGGCTATGGTTTTTTTCAAGCATGTTTTCAATCACAATGGTAACTTTAAGCTCTCTGCTAGGATACCTCTGCTTTCAGAACTCTCTAGATCTCATTCATCAGAACAGGAGCTCCTGCTTAGCCCTCAGGCCATCTTGGCATGGAGGGGCTCATACCACAGGGGCTGGGAAGCGGCTGAAAGGGCCAGGATTGTCCTTTTTAAGTTAGGAATCCAAGGGCTGCAGAGGTGGCTGGGTGGTTAAGAGCCTGGCTGGTTTGCATTTCCCAGCACCCATCTCAGTGTCTCACGACCACCTGTAGCTCTGGCTTCAGGAGACCCAGTGCCCTCTTCTGCCCTCCTAGGCACCTGCACTCACAGGCACACACACCCTCTTAATTGTAACATAATGAAAAGTAAATCTACAGTTATGAATCCTGGTATGTTCAAGCCCTTCTGTGGCTCCTCATCACTCTTGGACAGAGGTGCAGCTCCAGGACAGCTGCCGAGGCTGTGCTACCTGCTAGGCTTTCTGACTCCAGCATCCCTGGTCCTGAGTGTTCTCACGATGCTGAACAGGGCAGAACAATAATTGTGTTAACACTAGTTACTGATTGACTTCTTGCCAGGATCTGTGCTAAGTGTTCACAAGCATTATACTTGTCATTCTTAAAATTTCCCTATTAGGTCTATCCTGTTCATTTCCTTATTTTTTTCTTTCCATGTGTGCTTGTCTGTATTCTTGTGTGTGCATATATTGTTCACGTGAATGAGGAGACCAAAGATGGATATCAGGTGTCTTCCTCAATCATTCCAGCATTATTTTTGAGGCAGGGTCTCTCACTGAACCTGGAGCCCACTGATTGGCTAGTCTGGCTAGCGAGCAAGCCCTGAAGGACTCCTGTGTCCTCCCCTGCATCGCTGAACTGATAGGCATATGCTGTGGTGCTGGCAATCCAAACTAAGGTCCTCGTTCTTGCTCAGCAAGCCGTTCCAGACAGAGCCACCCTCTCAGCCCCATTTCCTCACTGTAAAGATGAGGAAGCGGAGACTCGGAGAGAATATGAGGCTTGCCTGAGTTCACACGGGTCAGGAGGGGTCGAGGCGCAGAAGGCAAGCCTGCTCAGCCAGTGTCTGGATACAGCGGTGCTCTTGCCTCTTCTGGTTCCAGTCCATCCACCTCACTTCACAAGAGTGCCCCGGCTTTCCTGCCTGCTTCCAGATGGGCACCCTGACATCATTCCCCGGGCCAGGGCGTCACCAAGCAGGCAGGGGGAGGTCAGAGCTCTCCGCTCTGGGAGCCCCCTGAACCCGAATCCTTCCCACTTCGCCCTCCCCCCCCCCCAGACGTGGAACACGGAGCCTGGGCCCTGGGACACAAACTGTGCTCCATTATGGTGAAGCAGGAGCAGAGCCCGGAGATGCCCGTCGACCCCCTGGCCGCCTCCTCTGCCATGGCGTCTGCCGCCGCCATGGCCACCCCACCACTGCTGGGCCTCAGCCCCATCTCCAGGCTGCCCATCCCTCACCAGGTGAGCCTAGGGACTATGGACAGGGGTTGAGGGAGGGAGGAAGTGACCCACAGTGTCCCAGACTGTGAACCCCAGGGCTCCATGAACTGGAAATGTTGGGGTCTGTCTGCCTCTACACTGACCACTCCTTCACCATCCTCCAGTAGGCACAAGCAGCAGCGTCCTCCAAGCATGCTGGGCCCTCCCTGCAGCAGAGAAAGCTCACAGGGTCACAGGGAGAGATAAGGGTTAGTTTCAAAGTGAAGGCTATCTGAAAAGGAGATTACCCCAGTGTACTTCCTCTCCTTTTAAGTTTCAGGATTTGGAGAAATGTAAATGCAAAAAAAGAAAAAAGAAAAGAAGAAAAGGAAAGAAAGAAAGAAAGAAAGAAAGAAAGAAAGAAAGAAAGAAAGAAAGAAAGAAAGAAAGAAAGAGAGAGAGAAAGAAAGAAAGAAAGAAAGAAAGAAAGAAAGAGAGAGAGAAAGAAAGAAAGAAAAAGAAAAGATGTTGTGTTTTAGTTAGTCTGTATTTAGATTGATAAACCACACTCATGAAAATCCGTACATCCACTTCTAGAGTGTATAGGTAACAGCTGTAAACCCAAGACCCTGCCTGGAGTGAGGTTCAGACCACTGGCTTCTGGGAGAGCCTCTGCTGGGTCAGGTTTGGTTCCTTACTGTGCTCCAGGCTTCTCTTTTTTTCTCTTCGCTTCCTTTGTAAAATAGGTGCAAGCCACAAGGCCTAAAACTCTATGGTTTAAAAAAACAAGCAGTAATTTCTAGGCTGTGGGGGGAGGGGGTTTGCTGGCCACCCAGGTCACCTGTTCAAAGTGGAGGGTCATAAGCAAGAAAGGTTGCCTTTCCCTGCCGGCAGGGCTGACCCAGCCCAGCCAAAGGAAGAAGGGACTGAAGCAGAGAAGGAAATGAAAGATTATAGGCTTAGTTAAGCCTCAGATGATGCAGATGAGCTTGGCCTGTCAGACGCTAGGATGGAGGATTCCCACTCTAGCCAGAGCAGGGTACAGGAGCCAGTCTGTAACCGTCGGAACCACCGAAAGCTACCGCCACCTACACCCCCTTCCTGTCCCTCATCCGCGGCGCTGACAGATGAACTGTAGCACTGACTCTGAACTGGGTTAGCCCAGGGAATGGCCAAGCTCCCAGCCATCCTGCGCTCTCTCCCTGGCTCTCCCTCACTGTCCTCCACACACAGTGGTGTGATCTCTGCTGTCAGATAGCAGACCCGGGGGAGGGGGGAAGACAGCCCCAGGGGTCATGCCCTCCTCACAGAGACCACCACCTACACGTATGTTGGAGTTCACATGTACAAAACCACACATGTTCCTGAAGTCCTATCCAGAACAATCCCTTGGAGGTTCAGTGAATAGGAACACGTACTTGTCACGAACGCGACACGTACGGTGTCATCCATGCCTCAGTGAAGCCCTTCGTGTGTTCTCCCTGCTGCAAGCCTCCTGCTGTGAGCCTGACTCCCTGACTCTTGTATCCTAGGATTCACATCCCATTTCAGCTTCTGCAGCTTTCTCTGAGCCTTGGCCAATTAATTCCTCCGGAACTTTCGTTCTCATTCATCCAGCGGCTACAGTGGGACTAACATGACGTCCTGTGCTCATGGCAACCACATACGAAGCCTTGCTTGGCTTCCATAGTTAGCGGAAGGTCGCGTGGCCCTCTGTTCCTGCAGCTCTGACCCGCACTGTGGAGCCACCCATTCTGCTCTTTGGTGTAGCGTGGCCTTTCCGAGTGTGAGAACTCCCCTCTCTGATCTGTCTGGGCTGACCCTAGAACTCCTGAGGCCAGCCATTCTCCAGCTACGCAGGGCAGCTCTCCAGTGTGAGGGAGGGAGGAGAGCAGACAGGAGACAGAGCTGAGTCTCTCTTCCTCAGGGCCCGGGAGAAATGACTCAACTGCCAGCAATCAAAGCGGAGCCTCCAGAAGTGAGCCAGTTTCTCAAAGTGACGCCAGGTGAGTGTGTGAGTGTGCGTGAGAGAATTTCCGATCACGGACAGATGGTCGACTTCATCCAGACCACCACTGTCACCCAGAGCTCCCACTTCTGCCCCAAATGGTCTCACCTTCCCAGTCTCTCGCTCTTGATCTATCGTGTTCCCTCTTCCATCCCTTCCTTCAACTGCCATCATTCGATCAACCCTTTCACTGCGCTTGCTGATTCTCCTTTCATCTGCTCACTGACGGAAAGCTGCTTTACATTCCCTGGTCATCTTTTCCTCCATCCATCCATCGCCTACGCCACTATCATCTATTTGCCATCTGCCCGCTTAGGCAGCCACGCATCTGTCTTTCCGTCTAGCACCTATCCATTCATCTATGAGTCCAGCCGTCATTCCACCCAGCCATCCGCTCATCCTGTTCCCGCCCATCCTATTACCCTGAAATTGGATCCATATTTTAGAGTTGGAGAAAGGAAATGAGAAGACGCTGGTCAGCCTAAGGTCCGTTGGTCTAGTTTGAGACTTTAGTCCCCTCTGGGCTTACACAGCTTAGAGAACCCGAATCCTGTGACGCCACAAGTAAGGAAGCAGGCGGCCTCGTCAAGACTGTAGCGGCTGAGATAGGCAGTACTCAGCAGTCGACTTTTTGGGTGCCAGGTGTGTTCTGGCACTGCCGAGGAGCTTCCGAGATTCCATCTGAGGTCCAGAGCCTATCAGCACATTTCCTGCAGCAGCGGGGCTGCTGGCGCAGCCTGTGTTCGGCTGTTCTCCTGATGTCAGAGCAGAGACGGGGTGCTAACCTCGTTTGACTAACCTAGCCCTCGACTCTTTGCAGAGGACCTCGCACAGATGCCTCCGACACCCCCCAGCAGCCACGGCAGTGACAGTGACGGCTCCCAGAGTCCCCGTTCTCTGCCCCCCTCCAGCCCTGTCCGGCCCATGGCCCGCTCCTCCACGGCCATTTCCACCTCTCCGCTCCTCACTGCCCCTCACGTAAGCAACGAGGGGTGGGCTGACCCTGAAGGTGAGGTGATGAGTAGGTTCACCCAGTGCCTTGACCAGTGAAGAAGGTCAGGGAGCCCCAAGTCTGACACTTAGCCCATCAGATTCAGGGAGGTCCGGGCAAGAGGGGGAATTTTTCAGTTCTGCCTCAAGATGAATAGAAATCAAAGGTAGAAAGAAAAGGTCCAAGAAGGCCTGGAAGACACACTGTTATGAAACTAAGATGAGAGAGAACCTGGCACTTCTGTGCCCTCGTGAGTGACCCAGGCTATCTCCAAGGAGCGCTGTTTGGAGGCAACATGGAAGAGACCCTGAACCCTGGGGAGGGCAGGGAGCCTCCTAATTGAGATTGCGGGGAGGGACGTGAAGGAGCATGCTGTTTAGTGGACGCTGGCCAAATGAGCTCAGAAACTGTGGATTCTAGTGAAGGGGCCTCCTGAAGCCATTACAAGACTTGATTCATGTTACTGGACTTAGATCCCGCCTTTCTCCAAGGGGGAGACTGGGGTTCAGAGAGTTGAATACACAGATAGTATCCAGTAATGCTGGAATTTGAACCCAGGATTGTCTGGTTTCTTCAGAAACTACAGGGGACATCAGGGCCACTGCTCCTGACAGAAGAGGAGAAGCGGACCTTGATCGCCGAGGGTTACCCCATCCCCACCAAACTCCCCCTCACCAAGGCTGAGGAGAAGGCCTTGAAGAGGGTGCGCAGGAAAATTAAGAACAAGGTAAGGCTGGAGCCACCCCAGGACTACGGGGAGCTTTCCACTGAAAGGGGTCTCTGCCCCCTGGTGATGTCAGCCCTGAGACTGGGATCACCTAGGAAGTGGAAACAGGGCGATGGTAACCCCTGTTTTGGAACTTCCTCCTCTAGATCTCGGCCCAGGAGAGCCGCCGCAAGAAGAAGGAGTATGTGGAATGTCTAGAAAAGAAGTAAGTGTCTCAGAAGGGGTAGGGCCAGGACCCCGCTCGCCGCGCTGGCCTCTGCTGAAGCAGTGTGGTGGTGGTAGGCCCTGACTGTGGAGGCCAGTGAGTCGATGGGGATGTCCTGAGCCTGTGCCTACTTGACGCTTCCAGGGTGGAGACATATACATCAGAGAACAATGAGCTGTGGAAGAAGGTAGAGACCCTGGAGAATGCCAACAGGTGAGTGGTACCCTGTGTCCCATCTACCCCACTAAAGGCCTCCGCTGGCTCTGGGAGACAGGAGAGATGAGAGATAACAGATCAGAATGATGCCCCCAAATGTACCCCAGTGTACCCCAGTGTCTGGGAGCCCTGATGTCCTGCCAGTTCCTGGCTTCCTGGCTGCCCTTACCTGCACATAACTCTAGACATTTGACAGGCTGGTAAGCTGCCCAAGTAAGACAGTGCAGGGCAGAAACTTCCCAGCTGTGCTGATCAGCATCAGCATCAGCTCTCAGTGTGCTAGGAATGCTTATTCTCTCTTGCTGGACATGGTTGCACATGCCTTTAATCATAGTACTTGGGAGGCAGAGGCAAGCAGATCTCTGTGAATTCAAGGCCAGCCTGACCTAGGACCTAGGGAGCTCCAGGACAGCCAGAACTTCGGAGAGAGACCCTGTCTCAAAACAAAGCCAAAAAAAAAAAAAAGAAAGAAAAAAGAAAGAAAGAAAGAAAGGAAGGAAGGAAGGAAGGAAGGAAGGAAGGAAGGAAGGAAGGAAG